TGTCCCACGGGCGCAAGATATCGCTGATAATTGAAATTGATAAATAAGTGTAAAACCTAATAAAAATCGCGCTTTAATAGATGAATCAATATGTTCACATGTTATTGCATTGTATGTTGATTTATGTGCTCCGTTTCAAGGAGAATATTTATTATATATACTTGTATAGCTGCTAATGCGATGGGTACTTGTATGGTACTCAGTAACATGACGACGACTTCTTTAGAGACGGTAGCTTCTCTCTACCCTGACACTTTGAAATGGTTTCAGTTGTACATCTGGGAATGTAGGGAGTTCACTGTAAACCTGATAAGAAGAGCGGAAACGGCTGGATTCAAATCCTTGGCAGTGACTGTTGATTCTACGGTCAACGGATATAAAAGGGGACCTCGGTTTATTATTCCACCAAACACGGTATTTGTACATGCACCAGAGCAATTAATGGTAAGACGGTTATACTTTCATCATATTGAATAAAAATGTTATTTACCATATCATATATTCATAGACACTGCGATAAACAAAAAAATGTTTGATTTACATGAGTGCGTGATTTACCAGCAGCGCTTTCAGCATTATCCAAATCCCAGGATTTCTTTTTGCACATTATCGATTACAGACCAAGTATTCTGTCTGCAATTAGACCAGCTATAGCAGTCTGTCATACTATGCAAACCATTAGCTTTACAGCATGCTTATTACTATTTCAACATTTTGAATATATTTATTATACAGGGTGTTTTCGATTTTGTATGGAAAATAAGATAATATATAAATATACATGTATAAACAAGTATAAACTAAGATAATACAACAAAAGACAATACAAATGGAAGCTGTATCCTCTTTTGAATCCAATTTGATTGACGTTAAATTTGAACATAAACAGTAGATGTAACAATGCACGAGCAAACCCTAACCCGGTGCAGAGAGTGTTTGCTCAATCCATAATAAGTGAATCGATTCGGCACACCATGTCCGATGTCGATAATTATTTGTGGATGGTGGGGACATGGCAGATTGATATAAGTAGAAAATATTGTTCGTGTGCGTGTCTGCTCATATCATGAATATGAACTCGTTGAGATCATCGGCATTTCACATAAATGAGGTCTTGGTTGTAATCTTGACTATTTTCAATCATGGCATGATTTTCATCTGTCCGGTTAAGGCTTCTATCAGCATATGCCCAAAATGGCATTTCACATGTGGGGGTTTTGTCTGAATAATAACATAAAAAGTGAAAATATTGACACAAGAGGGTATGTTTGTCTGCAAGCTGTCATCAACCAGTAGGAACATATTGATGACATATTTCTGAATTATTCTCAAGTGGCCAAGAACAATTTGTACTTGGTTGCATGGATTTAGTTTACTTTAAGTCGCTATTATTTTCCGTAATACAGAATTCAGAGATGATGAAATTAAACTGACAAAGTACACTTCAGATAGTACAACAATTTGCTTCTTTTATCAGATAAAGTAGCCATGTATTAGTTTGGTGATGTTTGTATCACGATATAAAACATAGAGCATCCGTATTGTTTCTAAAACTGCTCAATTATCACGTATGGTGAAGTGCATTTACATACTTTACTACTCATTCAGGTGAGTTCAACAGGCGCTCAAAGTAATAATCTAAGGAATGTAAGTGACCCTTCGTTAACCTGGGAATTCATTGCATGGATGAGATCAGTCACCAAACTACCGAGAGTACTGAAAGGAATTCTCAGCCCAGAAGATGCATTGCTTGCCGGAGCACACAAAGTAGATGGTATCATTGTATCAAATCATGGTGGACGACAATTAGATACAGTTCCAGCAACGGTATGTGCAAAAATAAGGACATGCTAGCAATTCGTAAATTCGTTCAACTTTAATTTGTTAATGAGTTGAACAATGTTATAATGACAATTACCACATTAGTATTCTCTTTACACAAATTGTTGTGATTGACATTGTGCACAACGTTTACCCAATCAATAATTTCACTCCATGATTTACCGCTAGGTGTAGTTTTATGGTTGTCATTGTTTAGATTGATGTTTAATTGTCACGAGCTCCCATAAAATATATAAACTATCATGTCATTACCATTATTACCCACTAGATTGAAATGTTACCGCATATCATAGATGCTGTGCGCGGTAGAGTTGAGGTTTACGTGGATGGGGGCGTACGCACAGGCACTGATGTATTTAAGGCATTAGCAATGGGAGCCAGGGCTGTATTCATTGGTAGACCAATCATATATGGACTTAAGTAAGCGGTAAGTGATATGATAAATTACTAATCAATGCGGTCACTTCTAAACATACAGAGATGAACTATTCTATTGGTTATATATGTTGAACAGATATGTGATTGATGTATAACTGAAAGTTACAATTGCAGTCAATGAGTAAATGATCGATGATTTGATATTGACGAAATATAATCAAAACAGTAACATGATAAATGAAACGAATCAGCCAATTTTAAACAACAGTATATCAATGCATAACATGGTGTATATCGTATGTGGAGTGTTTGAATGCAATCAGTCAAATCAAGAGATGTGAAAATCAAATGTTTGGTGCATTTCACTAAAATTACATTCGGCCATTTTAATTGGGTGGTGAAATGAATGCATGTATAAATGTTGTGATGTACTATATACGTGTGGAGTTCGGATGACTTGCATCAAGGTACCATCATATTAAATTTATGAGCCAAGTTCCGGAAATACAGAAATGCTCGATTTTGATGCGATATACCTTTATAATGGCTATGTTTCGGCCACAAAGCACTGTATCATAAAACACATGCATTTGCATATGTGTGGCCTGATGTTTAGTCTATACAGTCATGTCTGAGCTGAAGGTGTGGGGGGATGCTTGCACAGAGAGACGTATGGAGTGCACACAGAATTGAAAATATCATTCTCTGTTTTAAATTCGACAACAACTTACATCATGTTAATCAAAATTTATACAAATGTCTGCCTAAGTTTTGAAAAATTTCACGATTCATAAACAATGGAAATACAAATTAAATGTATGTTTTTCCAATTATCTCGCATACAATGAGTTTTCTCTCTGATCATATGCAAATTGAATATTCATCGAGACATAATCACGAGGAGAGATGATGTATAATATATACATATTTTGCATATTTTAAGAAAATTACAGTTATTTTTTAATCACATTTAAAAGTTTCACCAAATTAATTAAGAAATCACAAACTATTGGTTGTATGAATCTTTCTAATGAAGGCTAACAATGGTGTGAAACAGGTTCTTCAAATACTAAAGGACGAGCTCATGAGAACTATGGCACTGTCAGGTAAGATCACATACTTTTAAAATGCAACTGAAACAATAAAACATCATTCAGCAAATACAATTGATGTGTGTCAATAGCACAAATGTATCATCATCAATATAGTTTGATGTCATTATAACTGAATTACTCGGAATTATACACGAACAGTGGTGAATACAGAATAGAATGAGCTCCCTTTCCTTCGTCAACACACTTGAATATAACTTTCTGACTGTGTGTGTTTTTCATTCTCTAATTGATTTGACAAAGTGTTGTAAGTTGTCTGTTGTAAAAGTTTTAGTCAATGGTGCTTGTATTAGCGTGGCTCATTCTTTTCATGTATTTCCACATTATTACAATAATGCATGAAAGACAATATCAATGCTGCAACATGGGAACCATATTTTGCTTACAGGATGTTCAAAGATCAATGAAATCGAACCATGCCACGTGGTGCATCAATCGGTATTATGGAAAACATAGTGTGTACGAGATTTACAGTTCAAAAAAAAAACTGTTTGGTTTCCATATTTCACAATAGAAGATTCAATTAATGTATTTTTGTGCATCTTTTAGAAACGATGTATCAAGCAAATATTCAGTAACTTATAACATATTAATTTGTTCCCTTGTGTGTAACCCATTTGTTTCCTGTAAAATAGTAAGGAATTATATTTATCAAGAAATGCTTCCTACAGTTATTACATATTACTAGCAGAAATTAATGAAAAAATACTCAACGTAACAGTTGTAGTTAGGTGATAGCGATAGATAGTCCAACTATATAGTCCAAGTAGTGGGCGGTGTAACATTGTTCATTCTGTTTTACAGTTTTTACTATCTTACTATCACCTGGACATACCAATAAAGTTTTGATTAGTCACTTTGTAATTATTATGTAGACTTTTATATAAAGATGTTTTTGTCTTACTATCCTGTTTATTTGCTCACTGTCAATATTTCACGCGGTTCAGTCAATCAGTCACTCACTCACACTTAGATCCCATACTACAGTAAAGAAAAAAATATTTACAGTGTACATATCCCTGCTGGCTTAAAACGAGAGTGCGTGGGGACAATTAGAACAAAACATACTTACAGAAATTAGAGCCCATTATGTTAATCATGAATTCTTTGTTTAATGTATTTGGAAATTATCCCATATATCAGAAATATTTTGACGATATATTCAATAAGTAATTTTGATAAAACATTTGACATTCACCCTGTAAAAATATATTTTGATGTTTGCGTGTCATCACGAATTATAAACTCAAGTAGAATAAGAAATATTGTCATAACCTCAATTAAAATTGATACACAAGATGTCCCATTGTATAAAGGTATATGACACACGCTTTACTGATGGTTCAGTAAAGTGTGCACGTAATGACTTTGACCAGAACACTCTTATGCAAGTAATTTTCACGACACACACAATCATAATTATTGTTTGTCAGGTGTGCGCATGCGCTGGTTATGTTGTACAGTCTCCGTGCTCAGCAGAACGAACTGTGTAATGAATGATTTATTCATTGTTAATTCTAGATTGCCACACGAGTTGCTTTTAAATCACCATTGTTGATTCAGAACATGAATGTCACAATGTTCAAGATACTTTGACTCTCTCATTGGAATGATGTTGTAATAATACTATTGTTTTCACACCTTCGCGCCCTCTATGTTTTGTTTGAAACCATGATATACAATGACTAAGTAGAAATAGACGTGACTTTCTTGTTGGTGGTCGTGGCCGAGGTTTGTAAAACAGTGTGATTCCCGTTATGTGTTATGTGCGTAAGTAACTTTTACTGTCCGTTCCTCTGTTCATACATGTGTTGAGAAATGTTAGCTTAATAAAGTTTGGAATATACAATTTGTGTTATTCTGTATTACTGGTACTATTGAAATACCAGTTGCTAAAAGTAGAACCCCGCGCAAGTTCGCATACACACAATCAATGAAATGTTAGGAAATTGGAAAATATGGAGCGTAAAATTGATGATAAAAACTATAAACCGGCACATCGTTAAATCACAAATAACTTGACCGTCATCACCATGGTGGAATTGCGAATTATACACGACTACAAAATGTTACAACTTATTTACTATTGATTATTTGAAAATGGACCTCAATGTCCTATCGGTTATATCAAGTTGGACAAAACCGGTTTTCAAACTCGTTTACCACGGATTGTATTGGATTATTCTGTTTAACATGAGATAAAGAAAATTATTTCTCTTCAATAGCTTCCGTAAACTTACCTCTTGCTAGATGTACAAAGACAAATGTAAAACAAGTTATGTGAGCAGTCTCAACACTAATACTTTATATTTTGAATCACCCTAAATCTATATTTTAATATATTACGCCCCCAACGTCAGAGGGTACCAAGTAATTAGGTAATGCCCATGTGAAATACATCAGCGGCTGTGCATGTGGACTATTTTTGTCTGTTAAACGTATTCAAGTTGAAGTTTCCAGTTATAGCTGGAGTCCACTGGTCTCCTATGTGAGAGTTAGTTATAATTATAGGTCTTAAAAACATATTGCATAAATACATGGTTCCCGCCCTCTAAGGGGCACTCCAGTTGTACCATGGGCACCCAAGCTCATACATGACTTTCTTTAATTCGTACATACATATGGAAAAATGACCCATTTCAATTATGAAAACATAAAAAGGAAACCGGAAACCCGACAATTTTTTAATTATTAGATGATTAATATGCACGAATATGAAGACAAAACCTAATCAAAACTGTGCATTTGCCTAGAGCATCCATGCTTCAAGTTTCATCAAAAATCAAAATATGATTATTGAGGTTGGTATATGTAAAGTTAAATGGAAGTCGTCACAGCGTTGATAAGACAAACGTACACACAGACTACAAAGACTCTCATTGTGTGCTTCGCACATTCACCGGATTATGCCTCAGTGAAAGAATGTTTCCTTTGTATATCTGAAAATGTTGTTTCACAGTTCACAAAACATAAGATATTGTTTGAATCTCCCAAAAAGCATTACAATTTTATATTTTTGCATAATACTGGCCATTTAATTACAAGGGATGTATCTGTGCATACTACTGACTTAATCAGTATACATTGTATTAACAAATATTTAAACAAATATTAAATATAAAGTTTTAATCCATCGCGAGTATTGAAGAGTTTTAACACAGTGTGAAATGCCACGCATTGTCCCTGACGCATATATAATATAAGCTCATCTTATTTAAAACATACTATTTGTGGAAGTACTGGGATGAGTTAACCACACGAGGTGGCAATTCTGGTTTGATCACCCATAGATTCAGTTAATATAGATGTGCATATCTCACGTCAAATATTATTTTGTTCCAGTTGTGTGGTATCGCTCGTAATGACCCAACAGAGCTAGTTTGCCTTTACGATTATGAAAACTATGTGAAAAACCATATAGAACAGAACATTTTCTGGTATGGTGGTGCTGATGCAAAAATAACTCGGAACGAAAATAGAAATGTATTGTTCACGTGGTTCAAATACATTTGACCCATGTTACACGTGTTAGTGTATAAAGAATAACATTGCTTACGATGTAAATATATAACTGTACCACCAATTATAATTGCTACAACAACACTGTGCATGGTTTATTCCATCTGTTATTAAATTTGTGACAGGTACATGGTAAACACACGCGCAAACTATATGTATATATAAAGCTGTTTATTATTGAAAATAAAAAAAAATAATTCATTTATAGCTGCATGCACAGTATGTCTGCTGACAATGGTGACGTGCATGTGAGGGCGCTTCAAAATAAAACAGTTTGGAAGAAAAGTGTTTTAATTACTTGTATGAACTTGTGGATATTTCGTATACAGAACCACTTATGAAACTTGCATAGTCGAGTGTTTTTCCTTGAAACATTGCATGTGTGTTTGTTTTAGGAAGTGTTTCAAGATAAAAACAATTTTGAAAAAAAAGTGTTTAAGTTACTCCCATTAACACAAATGTGCCTATTACATTACCACTTTGCGAAACATTTATAGTCTGGTGTTTTTGGTTGAAACATCGTTGGTTATTTTGCCTTTCTTATGTGTTTCAGTTTTCGGGAAAAATGTTTGAATCACATGTGAGAATGCTAGATATGATTGGAACTACAACAACTGTTCACCAAATGCGGAGTGTCAAAGTCCATTACGTAATTCACCACGTATCTCGATTGCCAGTTGCACTTACAAGTGTACATGCATATAAGTCTAAATATGATTATTTTTTCTTGAAATGAAATAAAATTATTTTCTGAAGGTAATGTCATCATCATTGGTGATTATCAAGTTGGCATATATACCATAGTATTTATTTACGAGTCCCCAGACTTATCACTTTAATTTCCTAGTACTGTTGCATAATGTTCTGTTAATAAACACTTTAATGACACATTTACGCCCCCGTAAAACACTTATTATATTTTGAAAAAGAATATATTTTTGTGTTTATAATGTGCCTAATTTTTATCAAAAATTAGAACTTCCGAAAAAACCTTTCTAACAAATATTAGAATACCACAGTTTTGATAGAAAATACAGGTGTTGTATAATATAATACACATGTTTTCAAATTAAATGGTGTGTAAAGTGTCCCAAGGTGTACAGTGTGATCAGTGTGAGCTTCACTCAGTCGAACACGATACCAATCAATTACAGTGAGTATCTGTTCATTATTACTGCCCGGGTGGATCCCCTTACATCACAAAACACATAAGTAGTCAGAAAACTTAGAGGTCGCATCGAGTTCAAAACCAAGAAAGTTACTCGCTGAAAGTTGCCAAAGTGTATTTGTACGACTGACAATACACAATGCATTGGTTTAACGTGAAAATTGGTATAAATTACGGCAATATATCTCAAACTTCCATGATGCAATATTATTTAATGGCTAACTATTACACCTACGGGGTCGATCATAAAAATAATTTTCTGCGTTGTTTATATGACGTATTGGTATGTGACCATGACACACTGAATATTTACCCTATTGAACAATCGAATATCCCAGAGGTTACTAGCTGTGACGCAGTTAGTGTAACCATAGGAATACAAATATACCTCTATATATATATTTGTCTAGATAACCACCCATCCTGCCGCGTCACCCACAATAATGTTGTTAGGTATTCTATTTCTCGTATCTCCTGGTCCGTGGATTTTTGTCAACTGAATTTAAAAAAGTCTGAACATTATTCATTTAACACATCGTGATTTCGATTTCGACGTTTAAAGAATGGAAAACCATACATCGTGCCGATATCCTATCCGAACATAAACTCATCTGCAAGATGTCGATGCCCAATCGGTTGCAGTCTATAAAATAAAATCCGTTCCCTTTTTTGACTGTGTAAATACAAGCGACGACAATATGTTATACAGGCTTGATTACTAAAACAAAAAAACACAAACTTGGCAGTTCATTCCTGGTGCGATACGGGAGACCACCAAATTCCTCGAAACCAACCCCTTGAAACATGGTTTAAACATGGCTTTTATTCCTGTTAATTTCAAAATGGGATCCCTTGCCTAATTTGAAAAACAATTAAGAAAGTATTTGGGTGCCTCGCATAGCCGTTGGACGTTTTCTGACAAGAATGCTCATCATCCCACCTCACTACGATCCTTCAACACGTTCTGTGAATACTTGAATAGTTAAATGGAAATTTATTTAATCTATTTAAACTGAGTCTATTTGGCAACATGTTGATTTTACATGTTCTTTTCAAATAATGTTGAATTTGTGAATGCATGAACGAATTTTATGAGTACCCGGTGAAACTGGGACTACTGGATTGACTTCCACAATATGTTTGTATGTACCTGGTGCTCAGAACTCTTTTGACTGATTTCCATAAAATTTGCTACTAAGGTGTATCACAAAATTTGTATATACACATAAGCTTGTGCATGTTATGTCTGGTTTTAGGGTTGAAATGGTGATATTTTATATTTTGTCAGTTATCTGCCATTCATTGACCAATTTGCATATTGGCAAACGAGTACGCAACATATTAGATAAAACAATTTCCCATAATATTTTAGTTCACAACTTTTTATTTCTGGTCAAAAATAGGATGAAAATGTTTTCCATTCAGTTGTACATCAATAACCATATCATTTAGTCCGAATAATAACTTGTATCTAGTATTACCGACATGTTGTGGCACTGTTATAAATGGTCGTCCAAAATTAAATTCACTTAGAAACAGTTAACATGGATACTGCCTGAAATAGAATGACGCTTTTCGAATTTTTCTTATATATAAACAACTCCTTACTGTTTTTGTATTTACTTTGTAGTTTGACAAATGGTATTTATAACTTTCCCACAACGTAACAAAATAAACTGACAATGGAGTGTTTTTACCTTACCATACTATAGAAAATTAAATGTATCTACACATATTCACAGTGAATATAACCCTTGGTGCTACAGTATTTTCTAACATAGTATCAGTGTTTATCTACGATTGCAAAGAGCATGTATCATGTGAAACAATTGATAATGCACATGTAAAGATTAGAGCCCATGAAAATACATTGATTAAACTTTAAACTTGAGAAAACGTCATGAGTTAATTATTTTAGAGCAACCTAAGGTTGCTGGTGATTTGGATTTAGTCTAAACAGGGTAAAGATATTTTATTATAACACCAAAATAGATGCGATATGTCAACTGATATTTCACCTCGTATTATTTACATCTAACTTACTAATTAGAATTGTAGATTTTATAATTGATTCAACAATTTACTATGTCAGAAATATTATATTTCTCAATAACTTAATATTTTACATGAGACAATTGGGCTAAACAGAGAAACAAACTATCATTTCATGACTTGACTGCAATGTATTAAATATCCAGTATATGGAAAAGTCTTCTATTGTTAAATGTCGAAACCTGGAAGCATATTTCTGAAGAATATAAGTTTCAATCTCTTACACACCATGTTTTCAATAATTCTGATTGATGTACCACGTGGCTTGGTTTGATTTCACTGATCTTTGAACATCCTGTAAAAAACAATTTTAGTTCAGGTTGCTGTATTAACATTGATCGGTATTGTCTTTCATACATAGTTGAAATGATGTGGAAATGTATGACAAGTATCAGACACATATCATAAAACATAACATCTGCAACACACTAACAAATACATATACAATACTGAAAGATGACTTACAACACTTGGTGAAATCAATTAGAGAATGATGTTCGAATTGAGCAGATGAAGTAGCAATGAGGCCATTCCACATGCACCACAGTCCGTTATATTGCCATTATTCTATATTGATGCTGACATGGTTGAGTTATTAGCAGACCTGAACTGGTATTGAGTGCAATTTTATTAAATTTCACAAGTACGCAAGCTTACCTGACAATGCCATAGTTCTCATGAGCTCGTCTTTCAGTATTTGAAGAACCTGTTTAGCACCATCACCACCCTTGGATGGAAAGATGAATACAATCCAATTATAAGTTTGTATTCAGCTGTGTGTCTCGATGATTCATTCATTTCTCCTGTATATATATTTTTGTCTTAGCTTACGTGACCCATGACTTGTCAATGCATATGAACTGAGGGAATGTTTTTCAAACACATTGTGTGAGCAATAATTATATACATTTTGATTTCGGGAATGGTGTTCTAAAGTGAATTTTCTCGACTGAATGCAACCGAACTTTACACATATAATATGCATTATATAAAACATTGGTTAACTGTTATTTCCGATTACAATTGGCTAACTCATTGTAGTTCTGCAATGTTATTTCTCTCATCTTATACTTCACCCACGTATGTATAGTGTCTCATCATCGGTCAATAATTCAATATATCACTTACTGCATACTTAAGTCCATATATGATTGGTCTACCAATGAATACAGCCCTGGCTCCCATTGCTAATGCCTTGAATACATCAGTGCCTGTGCGTATGCCCCCATCCACATAAACCTCAATTCTGCCACGCACAGCAGCTATGATATGCGGTAACATTTCAATCTAGTGGGTAATAATATACGGATATAAAACAATGTTGGCATATATTTTATGAAAGATATTGATAATAAGGTGTCATTCTGGACAATGTCA